CCAGAGGCGCCGCCACGGGGGGTCCGACGCACCTCAGAGAAGTCCGCACGGAGTTCCAAAAGATCATGTTTACGCACGCTGTTCCTCTTCGATCCTCAACATTCTGCATGGTCCTCCCCGTGCTTCTCCGCTTCGTCGTCCTCCTCCTCTTACTCCTCCTCCTGAATGATCCTCCTCCCCCATGCCCTGCCTCCTCCTCATCCGTCTCCTCCTCCTCCTCCTCCTCCTCCTCCTCCTCCTCCTCCTCCTCTCCTCCTCTCCTCCCCTCCTCCTCCTCCTCCTCATGTTTTTCATCCTCCTCCTCCTCCTCCTCCTTCTCCTCCTCTTCCCCCTCCTCCTCCTCCCCCTTCTCCTCCTGGAGGAACAAGAGACGGCATAAACAGAATGTTTCGAAGGTCCGCACGGAATTCTTGGATCGCCGCTGGACCTCCCTCCCTGGCGAGCGGAGCCAGCCAATAGCGGAGCCGGTGGCGCCGCCACGGGGGCTCCAGCGCACCTCAGAGAAATCCGCGCGGAGCTCCGAAAGATCATGTTGATGCACGTTGTTCCTCTTCGATCCTCCTCCTTCTGCATGGTCCTCCACCTGCTCCTCCTCTTCCTCCTCCTCCTCCTCCTCCTCCCCTCCTCCTCCTCCTCCTCCTCCTTTCTCCTCCTCCTCCTCTTCCTCCTCCTCCTCCTCCTCCTCCACCTCCTCTTCTTCCTCCTCCTCCTTCTCCTCCTCCTCCTTCTCTTCTTCTCCTTCCTCCTCCTCCTCCTCCTCCTCCTCCTCCTCCTCCTCCTCCTCCTCCTCCTCCTCCTCCTCCTCCTCCTCCTCCTCCTCCTCCTCTCCTCCTCCTCCTCTCTCCTCCTCCTCCTCCTCCTCCTCCTCCTCCTCCTCCTACCCTCCTCCTCCTCCCCCTCCTCCGCCTAGAAGAACAAGAGACGGCAGAAGCATAATGTTTTGGAAGCCCGCACGGATTTCTTGGATCCCCGCTGGACCTCCCTCCCTAGCACGCGAAGCAAGCCGACAGCGGAGCCAGAGGCGCCGCCACGGGGGTTCCGCCACGGGGGTTCCTCCTCCGCCTGCTCCTCCGCCTCGAAGTCCTCCTCCTCCTCCTCCTCCTCCTCCTCCTCCTCCTCCTCCTCCTCCTCCTCCCCTCCTCCTCCTCCTCCTCCTCCGCCTCCTCCTCCTCCTCCTCCTCCTCCTCCTCCTCCTCCTCCTCCTCCTCCTCCTCCTCCTCCTCCTTCCTCCTCCTCCTCCTCCTCCGCCTCCTCATCATCATCAACAGCAGCAGCAGCATCACCCCACCACCACCATCATCATCATCATCATCATCATCATCATCCATCATCATCATCATCATCATCATCATCATCATCATCATCATCACACCATCATCATCATCATCATCATCATCATCGTCATTGTGAGCATCATCATCATCATCAGCATCATCATCATCATCATCACATCATCATCATCATCATCAGCATCATCCGCATCCATCATCATCATCATCTATCATCATCCATCATCATCATCAATCCTCATCATCACTCATCATCAACATCATCGTCATCATCAGCAGCATCATCATCAGCAGCAGCATCATCATCAATCATCATCATCATCATCATCATCATCATCATCATCATCATCATCATCATCATCATCATCATCATCATCACCATCATCATCATCCTCATCCTCATCCTCACCCTCATCCTCATCCTCATCCTCATCCTCCTCCTGCATGATCCTCCTCCCCCATGTCCCTCCTCCTCCTCCTCCTCCTCCTCCTCCTCCTCCTCCTCCTCCTCCTCCTCCTCCTGGTCATCATCATCATCAGCAGCAGCATCAGCAGCATCAGCAGCCGCATCATTATCATTAGCATAATCATCATCATCATCATCATCATCATCATCATCATCATCAGCATCATCATCATCATCATCATCATCAGCATAATCATCATCATCATCATCAGCATCATCATCATCATCATCATCATCATCATCATCATCATCATCATCATCATCATCATCATCATCATCATCATCATCATCATAATAATCAGCATCATCAGCAGCATCGTCATCATCAGCAGCATCATCAGTAGCATAATCAGCATCATCATCCTCCTCATCATCATCAGTATAATCATCATCAGCATCAGCAGCGTCATCATCATCATAATCAGCATCAGCAGCATCGTCATCATCATCAGCATCATCATCAGCAGCATCATCAGCAGTAGTAGTTTCCTCCTCCTCTTCTTTCTCCTCCTTATCTTCACCCTCCTCTTCCAACTCCTCCTCCATTCACTTTCCGTATACATGGCTTCCCCACGTCGCACCTCGAGGCCAGTTTTGAGGGCGGGCTGAGCGTTTCGCCTGAGGCTGCCTCACCATGTACTACTCTGAAGCATTCAAATTGGCAGCAGTTGCAGCGATTGAGGGCGGGCCGTCTTCAGAATGTGGATCTCGCCTTGGCACCGCGCACATTCGTTTAACAAGTTGCAAGAGCTGCACGGTTTGAGGGCGAGTTGTTCGTGCTACAACCGTTTAAAAAA